CTATTCTTCACACTTGCAGCTGGCAGAATACACAACGTTCTTTAATATTTGCCTTACGTGGGCAACCTCGGTTACTGTTCTCGTTTCTTTTGGTGGCACATGAACTTTTACAACTATAATTGTTAACCTGTGTGAAATGAAGCAATTATTTGGTCTTTTCCGCCGCTGAAAATGTGAATATATGCACATTTTTATAGTCGGAATGTTGTGATTCCGACCTTTTCCGACATATTCCGAAAATCGGTTTGTTATGCGCAGAACGGATGCGCAGCGGGTGACACTGCCGCTTTAAGAGAGATTTGATTGCTTTGACTACATTTTTGGCTTTTTAATTTCCCACTCTTCGCCCGAGTTATGTTGAACATTTGCCCGACTTTTCGACTTTGTAATCTTTTGGGGGGGCAGCTGCCCCCCCCCCGCTCCCCCTGCCCCGCTGCCCCCCCCGTCCCGTACGCCTATGGGTCACACAATCATTTGTAAGCCGATCTCTAATTTCTCTTGCGTATATAGATGCTTGATTTCTGCGTTTTATAATATTCATTAGGCAATTCCAGCTTTTAGTTTATGCGTGCAGGGGACGATGGGAAGTAAGGTATCACATTGCTGATTATGCTGAAAAATAAAAATGGTGGCCGTGTAAACATGGAGTGATAGCTTATACTTGTAAATATTGAAACATTTTGGTTGCTTCGGTAGTTTTTATTGAACTTTTTCAGCATAATCAGCACTATCATACCTTACTTCCCATCATCCCCTGCAGGCATAAACTAAAAGCTGCAATTGCCTATACGTTGTCGGTAGTAACCGAGTGATTCAGTTCATGCTGGACTTTTGGAAGTACAGATATGTCTAAGTACGATTTTATAATTTTCCATACACCTTGTTGTGTGAGCTGTACGCTATCGCTAATACTCTGAATTGTTTCGCCTTTGAAATACAACAATATTATACGTGATCGTATCAAATTTGGGGTAGCCTTTCCGCGAATATATATAAATTACACCAAGATTGTTTTGACGCAGCATTTCGTTCGCAAATCAAAAAGTTCGTAACTTCGTGTGAAAAATTTTGCCGTTATGATTTTTGTTTATTCCCTGCATGTGCGTTTCCTATTGGTCAATGAGTTTTAAAACGAAATTTCATTGGCTCATCTGGACAGGAAGTTGATCAATTTTCAATCAAATGAATTCATCAACTTGAGGAAACGAATTCATGCAATATTTTATCAACACTTCCATCGACAGTAGGTCTGTTCATAATGATTATGAATTTTTATGTTGTCAATTTCATTACTTCGATAATTAACTGCATGCATATTCGCGCACTAAGGGACGGACCATTTGATTTTTCATGGGGGAGGGGCGCATTTTTGAGAGTGCTCGATTTTTTTTTGGACCTCACCGACTCCGCACGATTTTTTTTTATCGAATCTTGCCGCGTGCACGATATTTTTTTAAATTTTAACTATAGCGTTAATACAATAATAACCACGTATGGTTATATTCCGGTTGAAGAATGTATTTGAATATACAGCATATAACCACAAAATAGGAAAGTATAGCAGAAGTGTAACCCACGAAAATTTTAACTCGCTCACGCCATCCTGGCTAGTACAGCCGGAAGTTTTTATCAGGTTTTGATAGGTACAAAGTGCCGGTTGTACTAGCCAGGATGGCGTGATTGATGATCGGACGAATCGCTTGTAAAAACGCGGACAAATACTTGCTTGAGTGAGACTTCTGGTATACCTTCCTATTCTATGATATAACTATCACAGCCCATTTTATACTTGGCCAATTTTATACTTGGCCCATTTTATACGGGGCTATGGTCTACGAAATGTAGACCATAGTCCCAATCAAAATTGGATCAAGTGTATTAAAGTGTGTAACCCATTTTGCATTGGCGTAATGGCATCTATATACAAATTCTCACGGTTCCCAATCGTATCAGTGTTCCCAATACGTATTATAAACTGCGATTTTTATTCAGAATCAGAGAGCGATATTAATGAGCCGGGTGGGAAAGGGTATTTTTGTGACCCGTGAATGCAGTGGCGTAGCCAGACTATAATTTTTGGGAGGGCATATATCGAACGCCGAAGGCGTAAGCCTTTTTAGGGGGTCCGGGGGCATTCTCCCCCGGGAAAATTTTGAAATCTGGAGTCCCTCAATGGCGATTTCCCGTGTTTCTGGGGAGAGATTTTGCATAATTCTGAAGATTATTTACTGCAGGAAAGACCTGATTTTTAATGATTTCTCAATAATGTGGATCCTTAATTTGACTCAACGAAGCTTACTTGGTCGCGTGTGAATAGTTAAATCGAAGTTTTAAAACGCATTTTAACCAATAACCACCATAGGCATTATTTTCTGTAGTTAGATTTAGGAAAGATTAGAACTTTTATAGACAATTTGGTGAACAGATGAGATTGGTAGTCACATGGGTAGTCATCGTCCCCCCCCCCCTAATTTCTACCCGGATTTCATCTTTTTACAAGGGCAGTCAATCAGCCTATTGGGGGGGGGGGGTCTGAGCCCCCCCCCTTGTCTACGCCACTGCGTGAATGGTCAATATTTGATCGTGTGAAATGCTTGATTTTACTGTCATGATCTGTGATTTGTTATACAGCCGTGAGGCGTGATTGTCGATCAAAAAATGCTCCGTGAAATGGGAATTAAGGATGTCTGTTTCGTGAACTGTGATTTTGATTTGTTTATTCCGATCTATTTTATAATAGTCATAATGGACATAATACGCGATAATAATTTATATGATCGATCTCACTCGATTGCACAAGAGTAGAAACTTCGGAGGCCTTTCGGAGATCGTCGGACGTACTCATCACTCAAACTTGTAAGTAGTTTTTAACTGCCAGGCAGAGAAGAGAACTTAAAGCGTAGTACTGTACCATGCATTAAACATAATCTTAAAGCTATTATTATTATACTATTTTTATTAGAGTCTCGTTATCCGTGAAATGTGAAATTGCTTTTTTATGGCACGTGAATTGTGAAACGGTATTTTTTTGTTGTGAAACGTGAATCATACCCCCCCCCCCTTTCCCACCCTCATTAATCGATGTCGAATTTACAGAAGTGTGGGACTTTCAGTGTTAAGATTGGGGTTTTTAGGGATACCATTATTGAAGTCAAAGTTGTCAGAACTGGTTTGTATCGGTTTGTATTTTGCATGTATACTTCCGGTATTGTTAACCAAGGCAGAACCGAAACACTCAACAGAAAAAACTAAGGGAAACTGAATTTTTCTTTCAATATAGAGTATTGCTAATTTAGAATTTTTTTGTGCTCGATATTTTTTTTGCTGGTGTTAGTGATGTTCGATTTTTTTTTCTTCCATTCGAGACATGCTCGATATTTTTTTTCGGATTTGCGCCCCCCCCCCATGAAAAATCAATTGGTCCGTCCCTAATATACTGTATCTAATATACTGTATCTAATATACTGTATCTAATATACTGTATCTAATATACTGTATCTAATATACTGTATCTAATATACTGTATCTAATATACTGTATCTAATATACTGTATCTAATATACTGTATCTAATGTACTGTATCTAATATACTGTATCAAATATACTATATCAAATATACTGTATCTAATATACTGTATCTAATATACTGTATCTAATATACTGTATCTAATATACTGTATCTAATATACTGTATCTAATATACTGTATCTAATATACTGTATCTAATATACTGTATCTAATATACTGTATCTAATATACTGTATCAAATATACTATATCAAATATACTGTATCAAATATACTGTATCAAATATACTGTATCAAATATACTGTATCAAATATACTGTATCTAATATACTGTATCTAATATACTGTATCTAATATACTGTATCTAATATACTGTATCTAATATACTGTATCTAATATACTGTATCTAATATACTGTATCTAATATACTGTATCTAATATACTGTATGACATGATGGTATAATGAAACGTTTGTTCAGTAAAGAATTTATGGAACGAAATTTTGGCATTTTGCACTTCGAAAGTATATTCAAAATAGTGAAAAACGGTGGTTATACATCGTTCATATTTCATCTCATTTCCAAGATAGTTTAAATATTTCTAGTTATGTGTATTTAATGTCTTCAGTAAATGGTGACTGGTATGATACTTTATACTACAAAGTACAAACTACTTAAAGCAATCGACCATGATTTACCACTTGATACTAAATTAACTTCAAACTATTCCTTGTAAATATTATAGATTGATCTGTTTCATGAGTAAGATATATCACGGTTCCCACTACAATTGGGAGCAGGAGGCGTTTGGAAAGAAGTAGGCGGCTATCAATACTATGAGGGCGTCCCGCGTCCATCATTTTGAAATCGCATTGCTAGCTATTTTTTAAGTAGTTTTGTATTTTTGTCACATCCAAATATTTAGTGAAGAATGTCGTGTAAAATTTATATTATTATAAAAGTTAAAACCCTTGACATTTCTTTGGTCAGGAAGAAATATTTTAATTTCTGGAGAAATAGCCGACAATTGTCTTTGCTATAGATGAGTGCAGCGGCTTCTATGACCAGTATTGGGAACACTGTATATATATTAAATTTCCCTTCAATTTTTACAAGCTCTGAAACGCACGTATTTTTCCGTCCCACGCACCGAAACGTTGAGGCGTAACACGTAGTAGTTAACAAACATACGAGTCCGTCTCGTTCAAGACAGTATGTTGTTCACAATCTAAAATACTTGTTCATTTTTAAAACAAGGAAGTGATGAGTGTAATGGCTAAATACACGTTTTGACAATCACGGTACTAACAGTCTGCGTTCATACACTTCGAATACACCTAATCAGCCATATATATCTTTGATCTTATTGTAAACAAAACTGACGTGAATACGTAAGGCCTGTGTTTTAGTCACAAACGTCAAATGACGTCATGTCCTACAGTGTGTTATATTAGCCAGCTCACGTTTTATGCCAAGTCAGACTTGCTTCCAGTATGGAGCGCGATGAACAAGGGATATTTGCAGCCGAAAGATTGCTTAAGAAACGTTTCAGAAAGGTAAGTTGACGACGTTTAGCAAGAATTTCATTATTCCACGTTGAATATAACGTTGAAATTTTGTGTTTCAGGGACGGCGCGAGTATTTAGTGAAATGGCTAGGATATCCAAGCAAGTATGTAAATGTTTAAATACATAAATCATAATATACAGCTTAGCTACGTACAATATTACGAGAACTTTGTAATGTTTTATTGAACTGTATCATCGATAAATCTATTTTAGATTCAATACTTGGGAACCAGAGAACAATATTTTGGACGAACGATTATTCAAGAATTTTCAAATGCGGTAAGATGTTGTTGCGAAATATAACGACGTAAACATTTAATAATGATATATACCGCGGGTGGTCAGCAATTTTGTTATTAGGTCAAAATCATTATTCTCGAAGGTTTCACAAAAACAATGTCTGTATTACACCAATTTCCGTTCCTTATTTGACAAATTTTCCCGTTTTAGACGAAAGCAAAAGATAGCATCTAGACGAACCGACGAATGTGAAGCAACGAGAAATTTCACCGACGAAGACGACAAGGTTAGAAGGCAAATATATTCATATCTGCGAAACACAAAGACGATATCCGCACACTACTAGAACATCGAGTTTCTACATAACAAATTTCACGAGTTTTATCAGAATTTCCAATATACTGTGCATTTGGCTATATTTGTTTAGTTTCCTAGCTCTCAGTTTTCATTTTAACTAAAACTGTTTTTCATTCACATTGTTTTTTATTCATTTAATCATTTTCGATATTTTTTACAGTGCTTTACAGTTACGGTGCTTCTCTGTTCCTTTAGTAACGAGAATAGAATTTTATCCCACTCAGCATTATGCCGCACTAAACATCTCACTTGTTTTGCCAACAACAGCATTTTTCCAATCCCTCGTCCATTGAGAGCTTATCATTCGACTTTTGCTCTTATTTTATACACAACTCCGTCAACGGATCATTACTTAAAACCCTCGCATTTCCTTTTAAAACCTTTTTAGGAACAAAATTTGAAGAGAAAGCAAAATTCTCATGATGGAAAGGAAGAGATTCTCCAAGAAGAATGCAGTGTCGTAGGCGAGGGGTGTATTACACCATACCAACGCAATAAAGAGCTGGTTATTAACCCAAATCAGGATTCCTTTGTGCAAGCCGACACGGAACATGATAAGAGATATTCACACAAAGAGACAACAACAGAAACAGTGGAAAATAATTCAATTAGAAACACAACGACGGAACAGAAAGCGCTCACGTGTTTCACAATTGATGCAATTCTTAACAAAACAGATGATAAAAACGACGATGATTCAGCTGTTTTTGCGACGAACAAGAAGCCAATCAAGCAACGTGGTGAGCTTAAAACTCGCATCAAAAGAGAAATTTTGAACGATGATACAGAACGGTTGCACAAAATTCGTTATTCTTCATTGGGGACAAGTTCTACATCAAGTTGCGAAGAAAACCAAGAGCCTCCAACAAGGAAACACAGCTCACCAGCCTCAGGTATCTTCCTTGATAATGATGTGAACAGTTCTATAATACCAACAAGCCATTTCCTGTGGATGTCACCACTAACAACTCCATTCTGCCCACTATATCCTCTTCCTTTTGGGAATGTACCACCTTCAACTGGTTTTTGCAATGTATCACCCACAAGTATAACAGGTTTGTCCTGTTGTCCATCACCACACAGAAACCCCCCACTTGGGTACTTCATGTTTGATCACAATAAAAGTGAGCTCAAACCAAGAGCCTGGGAGTGGAGATGAACGTTGTTGCTGATCTCTAACCTACCACTGGACAGTGCATCTGTATGAAACCAGTGCTGGTCATATTACCAGAAATCTACTCTGGTGTTGCTCCTGGCAAAAAAAACAAGGGGCTTGTTTTTGTGCACCTACTATACCAAGAGTCAATGACAATTTTTGTGCAACCAAAACAAAAAAAAGTTGGTTTCAAGTTTCCAGCTGACCTGTTAAAAATGTGACCATTCATAAACGTTATTGCAACGATTAACCTTTTCTTTTTAAAATATGGTTCTTAATCTGTCTGTCTTAATCATGTCTGGTCGTGTTCAAGATGGTTTAAACTTCAATCTATGTGTTGGTCGACACATTTGTCCATATGTTTGTACCAGTAGGACTTATTTATTAGAGAATATTATTTATAAAATAAAATGTTTTTGATCTACACTATGGCCAAATAAAAAAAAACTGGTTAGCGTCACCGCCCACACCTCGATTTCTGCCGTCTCTGAAGTTTTTTATGTAAATCTCTTTGTTTTACAGCTTTAAACAGTTTAATATTTGAAATTTCTCTCATGCTCACACCTATGCACTATATACTGATCGATAGGAGCGTTTCTTATATCAAAATGGCAGCCTTCTCAACATCAGTGGTGGAAAAACCGCCCCCATCCCCCCAAAAAATACTATTAAAAAATTTTAAAAACAAGTAAAATTTTTTTTAAAAAACGCCCTCCTGCCTCTGAAAATTTGTGAGAGTGTGACGCTAACCAAGTATTTTTTTATTTGGCCCAACATAAACAATGCTATAAAACATATGAAACCAACATTTTATTTTTTGCCTTAAAAATCATACGAGTTGATAAAGCTACCAAGCATGTGGCAACCAAGGAGAATTTTACCATGGGAAAAAGCCAGATATCAACATTAGTTATCATGATATACAAATTTATATTGTTAAAAAGAAATGTTTATAAATATTTTCCAACTTAAATGAACAAAACATTTTACAAGATGTAATCTTGACATTGTAAACCAAAGGAATTCAACTTGCTGTCTGCTATTGGCAAAATATTTGCTAATACATTGAAAGATTTAGTACTGAAGAGAATATATTTGGTTGAATCATGTATAAATGTTTTACTTCACATATATATAAATTTATACAATAATCTGAGTTCATTCTGCCTTTTCATTGGTCAAGAGTAGTGGAAAGGCAGAACTGGTATTGGAAGTATCACAAACAAAGGGCTTGTTCACAGTTAGGCATTCTCTATCTCTGATAGCTTGTTGACAAGGTTGTGGAGCACAACAGACCTGTTACAAGTTGTTCCAACAACATGCCGTCAATATCCTGCAATTCAACAATTTGTGTAAACAGTAGATGCTAGCATTGTTCCAACTTGTTGCTTTGTAGCAAGTTGCAAACACATCTTGTGACAAGTTGTCAGATTTTTGCCTGTGTAGATGGGATCTGAACTGCACTTCACCATACAGCTGTACGGCCGTGTGACCAGATTTTCTCTGCAGACTACGTCATTACCAAAATTTTGTTCAAATTTTACTAAATTAAGAAAATTTTACCAAATGTCGGCTTCCCAAGTAATTACGTCATAATAATAAAAACAATAGTTACGTCATCAAAGTACAAGAAATATGCACAAAAAGGTATCTCAAAATACTTGTTGCTTTCATCCGTTGCAGTTTTTGCTAATGATAAGGCTTTATTTCTTAGGCTTGGCAGTTCTGTTCATCACTTTGAGCACATTATTAATCAAGAAACACTCATTTTTACCAAAATGATTATCAAAAGATTTTACCAAAAAATATTGTACAGTACCAAAAAAAACTTATTACCAAATTTTCTTGAAAATTCACAAAATTTTGCAAAAAGTAAAACTTTTTACCAAATCTGGTCACACTGACTGTGTATATATTGTATCTGGGCCCGTTGGGATGACCATGTCGTTTAAACATGGTTTATATATCCACAGAATCCACTGGCTGTAAATATTAAAACCAGACAATGTATTTTATACATATAAACATACCACACTAACAGGGGAGAAGCTGGCTAACAACAGGTCATGCTATGCAAATTTTTAATCATTCATTATTCAAATATTTAGAAACGCTTTGTCTTTAAATTATTGAAATGCAGGATGATTTGCATAGCATGACCGTTGGCGTGGTTTGATCGCGCTTCATCATTCTACAGTAAATATTTTATTTAAAAAATTTAAAAAAACGATGTTGTGTTATTACCTTTTCACCAAGTGCCCACACTGCTTTTCCACCATTATTTAAGGCGATAAAACTGTCTTCCCCTCACATAAATGACATAAACTGTCACAGCAAACCTCGCGTTTCTTGTCACATAAAATGCGCGGGAAAATTCAGCCCATATTCAAAATGAATTTTCACATTAAACCTAACGAATTAGACATCAAAAGAAACTCCAAAACATAAAGTTTTATGTACACACATGTTTTTCTAGACATTTCTTGACACAAATAGTTTTCTTCCACAATTTAAAGAGTGTTTTCTTCGACGCAAAATTTTATAAGATTTATAACAAGAATCTTCACTGGCCTTCACTTTCAGGCATTTATTTTACACCCGTTTGCAGGTCACTCAGGACTCGGGACTCGGGTCGGGGCACGTGAGGGACGGAGGGAGAGGTCAATTAGCCTGCGTCACAGAAGAGGTCATGATGAGTTTAATAGAGAATTGCTTGTTGAAAAACATATTTCAATTGTCTTGGCCAGGATAAAAGTCTAGAATGTTTGATGTCTCTATTTCTGATGTCTTGATTTGAATGCGCTATTTGTTTACATAAGTAACGGTCATTTATTTTTGGCTGTGAATTTAAAGGGGGCGGCATCCGAAATACAAAGTCAAACCCGGTAGACGCTCTTTACCACTTGAGCGTCAGCCACGTAGCCTACAGGTCAATAAGGTCATCGCCTGCCACCTACAGTACAATAGTGGGAAACTCCCTCATGTTTTGCACACGAATATATTTTCTACTGTAGTCCATGATTGAAATGGAGGCAAAAATTGTTAGAGAAATTTTTGAATGAGTATTTTTCTAAAATAGTACATCATATTAACATTTACAACATTACACCATACTGACACAAGTCCTGTTCCTCTCTCCAGTCATACCAATGTTGTACTAGAAACTAGAAGAATGCTACAGGAATTGGTGTCAACCACATATATTCACAATATACACTTTCACATATACTCGCAATGCCTTTGGCATGCCAGGACATTCACTGCCACACAGGAATTAACATCACCTTATATGGAGGTTGCTTTAACATGTTGTTATCCCTGCACGAGAAATCTTGTCCACTGTGTTTTGAATTCTATCCAGTTTTAACTATTAAGCATTACTTTCTATTTTATGTTGACTACAGTATCTATGTTTTGAATTCTATCCAGTTTTAACTATTAAGCATTACTTTCTATTTTATGTTGACTACAGTAAATGATCTAATAAGTGCCCAGGTAGTTCATTACATACAGAAAGAAACAAATTTCAAAAAATAAGGTCATCTTAAAATTCATATCTTGAATTTAATTCATATCTTCAATTCCAAGATGACCTTATTTTCTTAAATTGTCAGCTGACCTTGGTTTTTGGACGAAGTTCATTACATTTTCAGTTTGTTTATTAGAGAAAGCATAATCAATTTGCATTGCAAATTAACAAGCATTTAGACTAATGTTCAATTCAATCCAATAAACACCCATGTATGGAGAGGTCATTTATTAGATCAAATTAAATAAGGAGCATTTATTCCAGTACAATGGTGATTTGACTTGGATGTCTATTAGATAGAGAGTGTTTTATATTAGAGTGAGGGCATTTATTAGATCATTTACAGTGAATATATTATCATGACATTATTGCACTGCAACGTAGTTTGCTGGAAATAGTCCTTCCCTGTTACCCAGTCTCCCTCTCCACCAGTTTGCATCGTCCTTCTCAACAACTTCAATTATTTCTCCTTTCTTAAATTCAAGTTCATTCTCCTCCTGAGGCTTAAAGTCAAACAATGCTTTCACTGTGAACACAGCCTGAAACACAACAACTTAATATTCAGATGGAGCATGCGAACAGCTGTTAATTCAGGTGGGCCTACTAGAAATGCCTGTTCGCAGGCTAATTCAGATAGAACAATAGAACATGCTTGATTTCACACTTGAGTGGATTTCCCAACAGGCTATTGCTCAATTCACAAGAATGTAACACAACTTTGAAATTTGATTTGGGATTGCAAAGCTCATTACTTTTTTCTGTCTTTCACAAGAAATAGTGAAGTGGAATGTTTTATTTATATATAAATATATATAGTGAAGTGGAATGTTATATTTGTAGTTAATTCTTCCAGACTCCACTACAGGTTATGATTCAACTAAAATGTTATTTCAAATGGATCATTAGGAAACTCATATAAACTGGTTCAGAATATTTACTAATTTCTAGAATAATTTCTACAGACTACAATTTGACTTCAACCAAATTTTGAAAATGTCATACTGACCAAACATTTTTTCCTCCTATATTGGTTTAGAGAAAGATCAATTCTTATCCTGAATACCCCAAACATAAAACAAATACATTACCTGAACACCAATGGTTTGCTGCATATCGTGTAAAAATATTTGCTGTGTTCTGCTAACAGATGATGACCGGTGATACTCAATTAATTCATTGAGAGAGTTAAATTTAACAACCCAAAGAAAGTACTTCCCTTCGCCATCACGGAGAACTTTGAAGTGTTGTACTGCGCCGTTAAACCTCAAGAAATAAAAATTCATTATCTATATAGTGTTTATCTATATAGCCACAAATTCAAGATATCATTGTGATGATGAATCAACCATGCTCTTTATTTAAACTTACCTTACAGATAAAGAGAAATCACCTAAAAACAAATAAATCAAAATATTTGTTTAATTTAATTAATAATTTACATTGATTATGAATCAATGGCATTAATTAATTCTTAATTACATTAATTAATTAATAACATAACATAAAGCATGTACAGTAATTCTTGAAATTCATTCCAACATACAAGTTTTTTTTAATAAGCCCAGTATTTGACAATTAGTTGATCAAGCTTGTTTCCTCTACCTTGTGCTTGTGAACTTTCTGATTCTCTAATTAAGAATGCGCCATCGTGTTGTTGCTGTCGTAACAGCTCTTCACTCTTCGTTCTCGTTATCTTACCATGAAACCAGCTGCCAAATTGTAGCAATTAATGTTAATTAGCAATCAATTACTGTACTGTTCATACATTATATATTTTGCTGCCAAAATAACTGGTTGGAATGGTAGTGAAAAGCCCAAGAAAATATGAGAATTTTGTCAGATGAAAATGTCTGTAGAACAAATGTGTCTGTTGTTGGTTTTCATTAATGTTTTCAAAAATTTCAACATGGCAAAATAAATATTTTTAAAAATCTTACCATAAGATATTTAGGGGGTTAATAAAATGGCAATGTTGGCAGCAAACTATTTACTTCCTATATCTGGCATTATCTCTCTATCTTTGATCTTTCTGTGAAAATTTTATTTCATTTCCTGGTTATTGTTCATTTCAAATTACATTTCATGATTCACTTCAATTTCTGTGTGCTATGTTAATATTGACAGGTAAATTACCAGAATATTACCATCATTATGTTTACAGACAGTTGGACAATAATTGACATGACATTATTAAAATTGTATATTTGATATTTTATCGTCACGTATCCCAGAAATTTTCTATAAGAATATTAATTTTTTTACTTACTCGTGAGGTTTCATTTGAATATAGTTAGCAGGAATATAACCGACTTTTCCATTCTGTTCGGCTTTAAACCAATTTTGATCGTTGTCCATATTTAGAACCTGTATATTAGGGTGAAACAATGTCAACAAACACAACACGATATTAGAAACCTCTCTATTTTTTTCGTTTAAAAACTTTGTATCGTCTTACCTTGACAATAGAACCTTTATCAAAGGAAAGTTCGTCATCTGCAGTAGCACGAAATGCAAATTTTGTGAGAGCTTCCATACTGGATGGTCACTTTAAGCGACGAAAATACAACAACATAAATACAACTTTCAATAATGTCCTCAACCTAATGTTCAACCCTTCACTATTCCCTTATATGGAAACTACACTCGGTCAGCTCTAAAACGGACTGAGAACTAGCGCAACAACTGATCTCAGAAAATCTCAGAATGCACTGGATAGTGTATCCTTCAAAAGAAGAAAGATGCATTGGATGCAACCACAGGCGCCCAGGACCTTCGCTCGAAACGTATTAAGGTAGTTGTGAAGTTGTAACCACATCAATTCGAACCTTTCTTATAATTGGTACTACGTGCACAGACCGTACAAAAACTACATTTGCAATCTGGCACGCCAGAAAACGTATTCATATTAGGAAAAAGGAAGTTGAATGTCAAAGGCGTAACGAAGGGGCGAAATGGCATGCGGAATTAGCCTTTGTCACGAAGGCAAAAATCCGCTATTTTTGGGATACTGTCTGCCCTCGTGGAAGACCCTACACAATTCCGGACAGTGAAAAAGGCATTATGGTTAGGATTTTGGTTAGAGTTAGAAAATGTCTCGAAAACTCGGTTGGCACGGTCTTTCTCGTACGGCATTCTGTCTTTTAGCCTCGTGGGAGGGTCATGACATGTGTGACTATCCCATTGTTGGAGGAGATTGACATAGAGAATACGTAGACTGAGATAATCAGACAAGAGCAACATGACAATAAAACATTGGGAAATATATTTTGTCTGATTTTCAACTTTTAATAATACTAATTTTTAAATAGAAGTAATTTTAGTTTACCCAATGAGTAGCATTTACAGAGAATGAGTTACAAGTTGTGGTAATCTACGGTTCTGACAGGCGCGTTAATTTCAATGATTTTAAATCTGCATTGTTCCTAGAAATGTTCTATTCTAAGAAAGTTACACGGCTCGTAAAGTGAGCAGTGACCCTAAACATTCAATTTTAGCATGCAAATCTAATCCTAGTAACTGCTCTACTGAACGCCGAATTAATTTCGTAGCGATTTTCGGGACATTGAACAGATTTTTTCCTCATATTTTGACCTTTAAAGATCCGTTGAGATAAAAAAGATCCGCACCAACACTGTTGTTCCAACATTGCCGTTCCAACATTATGTTGGGAAACGATGGAAGATGTTGGATCTGACTTTCTTCCAAATCATTCATCATCGTCCAACGTTGTTGGAGCAACAATCATTTCATTTCAATCATCTTTATTAGGGTCAATAAACTTAAACTAATAAACCTAAACTAATAAAATAAAGACCCTAAATGGGCAAGGTGCAAACGGGACTGGAAGAACCAAGTACCGCACCTGCCCGTGGTGTTGTTGGAATTGTGTGAAGGACCTTTACGTTCAAACGAGGCCAACGTTGCTGGCCTGAGTGGCCTCGTTTGAACAGGACTGTACAAGACTTTATTTTCTATTTTATTATTGGCTGGTTGGGTATTTTAGTTCTTTGCCATTGTCATCATCACGTTCATACGTTTCAATTTCAGTTGTTCGTCGCTAAATGTACTAAACACATGTACAACCAGTGTTGGGTGCATATATAAAAATTAACAATCTTATACTCTGTTCGCGATGTATATATGTATATCATTTCTGAGCTTCCACATAGTTTGAAGGAAAAAGTCCTTCATTGTTGTTAAGTTTTCCTTTCCACCAGTTAGCGTCATCTTTTTCAATAACCTCGATAATGTCACCTCGCTTAAACTCCAGTTCTCCTTCTTCTTGAGGTGTGAAGTCGAATAATGCCTTCACCATTGCTTTTCCTGCCTGTATTAAGAGAGGGTGTATATTACAGAGGGTGTGTATTAGAGAGGCTGTGTATTAGAGAGGGTGTGTATTAGAGAGGGTGTGTATTAGAGAGGGTCTATATTAAGGAGTGTCTGTATTAAAGAGTGCCTGTATTAGAGTGTGTCTGTATTAAAAAGTGTCTGTATTAGCAAGGGTGTGTATTAGAGTGTGTCTGTATTAGAGAGGTGTCCATATTTAATTAGAGATGTGCCCATATTAGAAGGGTCAAAGGTGTCTGAATAAGAGAGGTACAGCTGTATTAGAAGGGTGTCTGTATTAGAGAGATGCCTGTATTAGAGAGGCGTCTTGTAAGGAGAACTTTAACTGTTCTACGAGTGTTGTGGAAAGTATTTTGATAACATAATGTAAACATGTTATATTTGCAACAGTAATTTTAGTATTTAGTAGTAATTTCATGTTCTTAAGAATATTGCCAAATTGGCAAGAATTCGCTCTGGTGACTAATAGAAAGTTAAACTAATTTTAATACCTTAGTCATATCACGTAAAAATATTTGTTGCGTACGGCTGACAGATGATGTGCGATGATAATCCACAAGTTCATTCAACGAATTAAACTTAACCACCCACAAGAAATACTTGCCCGCTCCATCTCGGAGAACTTTAAAATGTTGTACAGCATTATTATACCTGCAGGGATGGAATAACTTTTGAGCACTAGCACTCTCTCTTTGATGAGGCCAAAAAATATGTGGGTTTCCAATTTCTTCTTCTAAAAACTTAGGTAGGGTAGGTCAGTTTAAATTTTTTTTAATTTTCCTAACAACCGGACGCCATGCTTGTTTAGTAGATAAATTTCCGTAATATCGCCTCAAATTTCCATTTTCCACAAACGTTTCCTCTAAGTGGAAACACTAGGGTCTGGATTTTCAGCGTCCAAAAGCTAGGCAGGGTTGGGAAACGCACATATTTTTTTTGCCTGAGTAAAATTATCAGGGGTTAGACAGAGTACAATCAAATAACAAAGTAGGGTACATTATGCTGCAATGCCATGTAAAGGGTTATAGTAAATATCACATTGACCATAACAATATTAAATTAATTGTGTAAACGTTCTCTGCTTAAATAAATCTTTTTAACCAGAGAACATTTACACAATTAATTATGAATCCTGGTTTCACTTCCAACATTTCTAAATATAACAATACTGTGGTAAATTAAACTGCTGACAAACTCTAACATACCAATTTACGGCATTCAATTTTTAAAATTGTATCCTGAATTGTTATAATACATCTACATATACAGCACAATATATTTGTCTATTTTGAACCCAATTCAAATGACATAGAAGCAAGTATGTTATAATTTTGGGATGTTCAATACAATCATTATTTTCCAAAAGTTGCATACCTTACAGATAATGAAAAATCTCCTATAAAACGAGAAAGAGAAATATAAACTTAGGCCATCATATTTAACCCACAATTAACACCTTCAATATTAATTAACCCATTAAGCCCCAGCGCTCTCCCCTTGACGAGTAAAATTGTCTGCCGTTAGACAGAGTAAAATACTAAAGTGGGGTGATCAGGGTGCAATGCGACTCAATGGGTTAACTAGACGCATGGGCAGACACTAGATAGGCCAGTTAACCCATTAAACGCCAGCGCTCTCCCCTTGACGAGTAAAATCATCTGGCGTTAGACAGAGTAAAATACTAAAGTGGGGTGATCAGGGTGCAATGCGACTCAATGGGTTAATTACAGACAGGGCTTGCAGAGCTTGGGGGTACTGGGGGCAGGAGCACTTTTTGGCAGTGACCACCTCCCACTTTTGAGATGCTTCTGCTGACTTTGAGTGCAAACAAAAAACTCAGTATTACACACCTGGACTGCGCTCTGAGTCTCGAATTAAAAATGCTCCATCATGTGTTTGCTTTTTTAACAATTCCTCAGCATCATTTCTTGAGATTTTTCCATGGTACCAACTTGAAAATATACAAATAGAATGTATGCTGAAGTCATTAACGCACAAGACTCTCCCTTGACAAGTTAATTTGTCTGATGTTAGACAGAGTAAAATAATAAAGTGCAACACATTTGGGCACATTGCAACTTGATGATCTGATATTTGTGATGTTACTCTGAGTGTATATCCACACCGGGCGAGCTTGAAAAATATGCCTGGCCACGGTGGGATTCAAACGACTTTTGGAATACCAGCCCAATGCTCTTCCAACTGAGCTACACGGTCAGGATGGTTCTGTATCACCATCCTAGCACAGAGATCAAATTAGCTGCAATTTGCTCATTCTTGCTGTTTGTAAATTGGAATCATAATATTCCAAGAATGTATATTCATTAAAGATGGAGCATCCATTAGTAAATATTGGATCACTTTCTTATTACAATTTCATTTTCTGAATCTGATTATAAAAACTTTTACCAAAAATTTTCATTGGCAATTACTGACAACCTTGATGAATAAGCAACTGTTCACATTAGCTGGATTACCAAAATGATCAGCAAGGGTTCACCTAATTTTGACGCTTGCAGCTCAGATAAAGTAGAGCATTTTTTCTTCAATTTCATATTTTGATGGTTTTTTCCCAAACAAATAGTCATAAAGATTCTCAAGATGAAAAACAAAATCATCAGAATATGTTGTATAAAGTTGCGATTCAAAACTTAGTTGAGCAGGTGGAAGTGAACTCACGTATAAACACACACAAACACTTGTCCCACCAGCCGAGCATCTCGGCAGGTTGGCCTGCGAGTTAATAACCATGTAAAGTTAATAACTTATTTTAGCCGTTTAAGAGTTATAAAAATAGAATTTTCCCTTTAATTCTTTTTGAAAACATGCCAAGAATCTTTCCTCTAGGATACACAAGTCGGCTTCAAACAACAAGGGATATATAACAAGTCATTTTAAACGAAATGTTTGCGCATTAAGCAATACATGCATATTATATTGATGAGGATTGAACATCGCAATTGCTTCATGTTAGTGAATTCTTTGTCTCTTTGATGTTATTAAATATTTGCATCAAATCATCAAATTATAGCATTCTCGCGGCGCATGTAGGCCAGCGAGAAGGATGAAAAATTATCTACATATTTATAGGTGGAGTTTTTTGCAATGTGTGTGGCAAGAACAATATTCGTTTTACGGCAAATAAAAATGATGATAAAGAGACTTTATTTTCGTTCAGTAATACTCACTCGTGTGGTCTCATTTCGATATATGTCGCAGGAATGAATCCATCTCGGCCGTTCACTTCAGCTTTATACCAGTTCTCATCGTTTTCCGTATTTAAAACCTAAATATTGAACATCAATTTGAGAAGAACGTCTTACATGAATTGCTGTGTTGTGTAAAAATATTAGCGAAAGAACAGGAGTAGAAAACACTTTAACACTTACTTTTACGATGGATCCTTTCTCGAAAGATAGTTCGTCGTCTGCCGTGGCTTTAAATTGAAATTTAGCGACAGCTTCCATGCTAAATTCGCCAAAAAATTAATCTTTTCTCGCGAAGTTCAACACAAAAATATTGTCAACTGCGTTCTTGTGCCTATCGGGGGTCAAATTGCTACATGGCCAACTGCCATATATGGAAGTCGGAGAGTTCCGACAAAAATACGAGCAGCTGGCAGCACCGGAAAGTAAATTGGCGAAAGGTTACATGAAGTATACGGGCGATAAATTAGTTACCACTGGCTAATGTAAACGCAGTAGCGTATTGAATGGCGGGAAATAAGAAAAAAATAAAAATAATTACTGGTATTTCAATCAAAATATTTTTCCTGACTCCTGAGAGGAAAAAACATTACAGAAATGGAAAGCAAGCAAACGTGTGAAAAATGAACCAAATACGACTAATAAAAAGCTTCTGGTGTCTTTTCTTGTTTATTCAAATATGTTTGGCTGCAAACAAACCAAACAGAAAGGTAAGCCACAAATACTGAAAACATTTCATGTCATATTGAGCAATCAACTGAATGCATTTATAGTTTACCTTTTTGCTCTTTTTCGTAGAAACAAACTGGAAACTAGCGACATATAGTAGTTTTACTGTTCAAAAGTACTTGATTGAACCGTGTCCATTGGTGGAGGTGTACAATGCATAAATTTTAAGTTTTCTTGCAGGAAAATAAAAATAAAGGAAAGAAAAAACGTCCAAATTGTGGTTTTTATCGCTTCTTGCCTTTACCTGCGCTAACGTTTGCGGCATTGGAAGCAGAGATTGTCAACAAAAAACAGGTCAGATCCAAATCAAAACATTCATTATTTGTTTTGTTTTCTATAAAAATAAAATAAATATATTAATAAAATAAGAATATATGGGTATAAACCTGAAAATTTTTACTCTTAACGTTATACTTAGATCAAAATTTTCTTAATTTTAGGAAAATGAAACTTACAAGATTGCTTTAAACTGCCCAACATTGAAACTTATCGAGGAACCAAAAATGTCGCATACTTTAAAACCCGTATGTAGCCTACTGTAGCATGGTAGACAATAAATACATATATTGGTATAAATGGTATTAGTAACCAGCATTTGTAGTGTCTTGATCACCACGCTTGGTTTTCAAGCTGGGAGACCCGGGTTCACGGATTCTTGGAGATGAAAGAGCTACCTTTTCATTGACATCAGTAAATGGTTAGACTTTCGCGTCTTCTCGAATAAGGACGTTAAATCGTAGGTACCACGGATCCCCTATCAATTAGGCAATATAGCCTGTTGGGAAATCCGCTCACGAATATTTTTACCTTCAGGGTCAGAAAGAAATCATTTTGTTCAAAATGATAGTAGATATAAATGAAGTCCACACAAGCCCCGAGTTAGTACATCATAAGTGTGTGATAACTAGATGGTCGGAGAAGTCTAATGCGTTAGATATGTGTCCTTTTGACGTATCCGTGTGGCCATACGGCTTGTTTGATTATCCTTGTGACGATTGTAAGTTTGTGAATAATACTAAACACATTTTCTCACAAGTTATAGTAGTTATGCTGTACATATTGAATAATTTTCAATGCTTTTGCTGCTTTGTAATTTAGATGCAGAAGGTCAGTTGACATTTACGAGGAAACCAGAGAAAAATAATGTTGTTGTAATAAACATGCAAGATTCAACGACCAAGGCAAGTGTACATGGTATGGTGTGTATGTGGTATGTAATATGGTATAGTGTGGTAAGGTATATGGTGTGGTATGCTGTATATGGTGTGGTATGCTGTATGTATATGGTATACTATGGTGTGGTATGGTATAGTATGGTATGCTATGGTGCAGTTTGGTATGGTATGGTATGGTATATGCTATGGTATGGTATGGTATGGTATGGTATGGTATAATACTTTGTGTTGCTAACTGTATGTATGATATTCTCTAGCTTGGTTTGTTCTCAGTGTATATGTTAAATCTGACGTGTTCTCCGAGACTGCCACTTATTGAACAGATAGAAACAGTCAGTAAACTACGAAAAGAAAAACCCTGGAAGGTTGAAATACCAGCAAACTGGTTAGTAATATAACTTATAACATGAAAAAAAGTTTGTTCCCTGATTTCCAAACACGCAATGTTTGTTGTACTGATTTCCAACCAGTTAGATGATGATCACCTTATTTTTTCTTACACAAACTCTAGTTCAGGCGTATTACGTCAAAACTATGTGGGATTATGTCAAGTGGAGGTTTTCAATCTTTGCCACACGCAAATAACACAAGTTGTCAACACTACTTTCCAACTTTACGATGGTAAGTTCTAGAATTGCTAGTACAGAGACCTGACTCAAAGTCATTTGAATACGTTTACAGTACCCATTTTACCACACTTTTTCAATCCTCACATCCGCTTGTTCTTATAGGTGAGACGGACGAATGCGAATATCTCAAAGAGAGACTTGGTGACCTGTCCGATCATCCTTTGGCAGCATTCTTTGGTCTGAACTACGTTGAAACAGGCTACTTGACAGTGATAGTGCTGGCTCAAGTATTGCTGATATTGTTGACAGCTGTTGTTATACGTATACGAAAACGACAACTTGCTGCACGCAAACGTAAATAGATACGAACTGTATGCGCACGAAACGCGCACCGCTTGTTTCATATTTGTAGTATACATACTTGCATCATTACTGTAACTGTTTGTTCCGGCTTAACTATTTTTACCTTGAAGTTATGAATTTCTAATACATTTACTGACGTGTTGTATTTTCATTTAAATAAACCTGTCACACCCATTTTCTATTGTGTACAATCAGTTTTGGCTGCGCAAAGCAGGGTCTCTCTGTGACCTGCATTGACGATGTGCTGGCCAGTGGCCAGAGATTCCCTCACCTCGTATATCTGATATTTATCTATATTTTATCTATAGACAAAAATTACTATGTATGTCTTGCTCCCTTATTATATCTCCTTACCTTCGCGCAGTATTTCAAATATCTACAACCCCTCGCGAACGTCTTCGTCTCTGATATTGTAATTCCTTATCTTCGCTTTAGCCTGAGCCGGTTTCCACTTGCCAGCGGCTTTTGCAGACAGCGCAGGCTTAGTAGCCTCTGGTTTAACCTGCACGTGGCTTGGTTGACCTTTGACCGTGAAACTATCTGGAGTCGAGGTTCTTTCCAGTATTTGACGTCCACGAACCTCGCGTGTTTCACGCGGGGTAAATCCAGGACTATCTTCATCGAGTAGCTTCCAGACCTCTTGTAATGAGGAACGGTCGTCTGATGAAAACGATGGTCGCCATTGTGAGGTGACGTCATCACGTGCCTGTACCTGCAAACCTGAATTTTCTGCAGGCTTGTTTGGCAGGGAAGGTTGTTGAGCAGAAGTATTTTCCCCAGGAGTTGACTGTTCAGTATTCCTAGCCAGTGCTCGTTGTGCATACTGCAGTTCTTTACTTGTTAATTGATACTGTAATTGTTCTAAACCACGCAGGTTAGAGCGAGATGGACTATTTGGCGGGATCGTAGATGATTGGTTTGTGTCATCTGAAGCTGAGTTTGTGTTCCCTGAAATAAAACGGAGTTTAAGTTTCTGTAACGTACTCAGGCAACGTTTGCTCGTTGTGGTACCCAATGGCTTTTTTGTGGGACAACAATATTTCATGATATTTTGATGTTTGTGTACAGTGCTAAAAAGTGAAGAACGTACCTTTATATTTCAACAGTTCAGCTCTCAGTTTATTGCCCATCTTGATCAACTGTTCTCGTTCTTTTGTCAGTTCACTGATACGCTGAGCAGCTTCACGTAGCTTCGTCTGTAACGTTTCATATGATTGCAAGCTCGCAACTTCTTTCTTTCCTGACATATCTAAGACATTTTAAGTTTGGTTGAAAATTTTAAGGGCAGTAGCGCTTTTTTATAACAACAGGAATGAGAAAAACGTCTCATTTACTGGATTACTCACCATTTCCAAGTTGTTTTCTAAGTCTGTGGTTTTCGTCTTGCAGCTCTCGTATGAAGTGAGTTTGGGGATTGTAAGAATTTACCATTTTCCCTTGACTGGCGAGATCCAGTTTTAACGCTGAGAGCTGCAATGAGAGATATATCATGGACCTTAGCACGACCGACTAAGGGTTAAATTTATAGCAAACAAGAGAGCGTTATGTTTATAATAAGACGTGGTCTAACCTGGTTTCCTAAAGCTACAGCATCAATATTTCTCTCAAGGCCAGTTTTATAAAACTCGTCGGCCTCTTGTCTTGCTTGGGTCACCTGTAGACTGAGGTCTGAGTTTCGTTTCTTCAGAGCGTTCATTTCCTCATCAGCTCGACGATGTTCTATGGTCAACTGATACTGAAGTTGGTCAATGTTCACTTGTTTTTGACGAACCTGCATGGGAAATTACCATTTGAAGTGTAAGAGTCAAATGCTCTTGTTCTTCTGTGCGTTTTTTAATTAAAAAAAAATACTGTTATATTGTTTTATATTGGCCCTTATAATAGTCTGATAACTCATTGACATGTATGTGCATAACTGACCTCTTCACTGGACTGATGAAGTAGATGTTGAAGATGGATTATAGTTGCTTCACATTTTCTCACTTGAGATGTCAGATCTAATTTCTCTTGACGTAAACTACCTACAACACAAGTTTATATACGAGTGATTAGAGAGATGTTGATGGATACACACGCCTTATGATGACGAAACATTGAGACAGAATTTGTCCGGTTCAAAACGAAATAAATCCCAAATCGATAGTCAATAATTTAACAGCTATACAATAACTATATTTCATTTTATAGTAGACAACCATGCGCTGCGCGCTTAGTGAAGACCAACTATTGTGGAGCAATTTCCAGAGGTGAAGTCTGTTTCTTAATTTTGTTATTTTTAACACACAAACTCAGTCTACCCTTAAGCCTGTGACTCTGTGATAGGGATGCACCGGAACCGGTTTTTTAAGTTCCGGCCGGAACCGGATCCGACCGGAACTGGAAAAAAGATCCGGCCGGAAGTTCCGGCCGGAACCGGAACTAATTTATTAAGCCATATATAGTCATATGTTACTTTGTCCGCTGCCAGACAAGCAGACACTTCAAAT